TGCCCATGAACGCGAAAAACAAGCATCTTCGTCTCAATCTTTTGAAAAGGGTTTAAAATGTATTTGCTGCGGTGGTGATCATGCGCTGTTTAAATGTCAATCATTCATTAAAAAATCGATAAACGACCGGATTGAACTAGCAAAATCGAAAAAGCTTTGCCTCAATTGCATTTCTTCTACTACGCATAGAACTCACGATTGCAACAGTAAATTTACGTGTAAACATTGCCAAAAGCGTCACCACTCTCTACTACATATTGAATAAAAAAAAACCGATGAAAAAACGTCAATGAAAGCAAATTGTGCTGGGATTCAAACTGTCTCCCAATCATCTCCAATCGAAACAATTCGCATTCAATCAACAGTCGCTTTGAAACGAGCGGGTTCGGTTTTGTTGGCAACAGCCATGATTGGAGTTCGGGATAAAAACGGAGCAATGATTTTGTTGCGTGCTTTGCTTGATCAAGGTTCACAGAGCGCGTTTATAACCGAAAATGCTGCGCAAACGTTACGTTTGCCACGAAAACGCATAAGTGCCGTTGTCACTGGAATTGGCGCTTCTGAACAAATGGCCAAGAATACAATGCAACTTGCCATTTTTCCACGTTTCGAATCCAATTTCGTGATAAATTCTGAAGCAGTTATTCTTTCAAAACTCACTCAAATCACCCACGCAAAATGCGATGAGAGTGATTTTGAATTTATTAACAATCTAACATTGGCGGACCCGTCTTTTTTTTGCGAGTCGGACATTGATATAATTTTGGGAGCATCCGAATATGCTCAGGCGATCAAGTCCGGGTAATTAAATCTGAAAACAATTTGATTGCACAAAATACAGAGTTCGGTTGGATAGTTTCGGGCGCAATGCCAAAATCCTCACCGCTAATACAAATCTCAGCGTTTGTGTCTAATGTGGATTTGGACTTACAGTTGTCACGCTTCTTCTCATCGGACGATTTTGACAACGTTGATGGTGAATCATTAACGGAAGAAGAATCAATGTGTGAGGAGCATTTTGGGGCCACTCATTCCCGTGATGAGGATGGTCGCTTTGTTGTCAAAATGCCTTTCAAAAACGGTATGGAAAGGCCCGATTTGGGTGACTCGCGTCGAGCGGCTTTGGCATCGCTGTTTTCTATCGAGCGTCGCTTACAATCAAAACCTGAATTAAAAATCCAATATTCGGAATTCATGAATGAGTACTTAAATATGAATCACATGCGTGAAGTGAATTCAAACGACGCCGATGCCAATTATTTGCCTCACCACTTTGTCCTGAAGGACAGCACAACAACCAAACTACGCGTCGTTTTTAACGCCTCCCAAAAAACCTCAAATGGTAAAAGTATCAACGAGCAATTGGCAATTGGGCCAACCGATCAAAATAATCTTCTATTCATTATACTGAGGTGGAGGCGTCACCGGATCGCCTTCACGGCAGACATAGAGAAAATTTACAGAAAAATTCGTTTACATGAGTCACAAACGAATTTACAAAGAATATTGTGGCGTGATGATAAGTCGGAACCCATTCGCGAATACGAGTTATCGACGGTAACGTACGGCATGGCTTCGGCACCGTATCTTGCTATTCGAACACTCAAACAGCTTGCAATGGAGGCTGCCGATGAAAACCCTTTGGCGACAAAAACGTTGCACGGCGACTTTTATGTCGATGATGTATTATCTGGAGCGGATAGTGTGGATGAAGCGTTGAAAGTATATACCGCATTGAATAATTTATTGCATTCGGCCCGCTTGCATCTGCGTAAATGGGCAAGTAATTCATCAGAATTTCTAGAATTTGTTCCACTATCCGACCAGGAGTTGGATTCATCGGGTGGAATCATAAAAACACTCGGTGTTGTGTGGTCTACTGGGACTGACGATCTTTCTATCAACGTTCCCATGGAAATGAATGCCATTCCGCGTACAAAACGCCAATTGGCGTCCGAAATAGCGTCCCTATACGATCCCCTCGGTTACATTTGTCCAGTGGTGATACTGGGAAAGAATATTTTGCAAAAAATCTGGCGTTTTGAATCAAAAATTGGATGGGATGACGCCATACCCCAACAATTTGTCGATGAGTGGTTAAAAATTAAATCCGAAATGAATGTCATCTCTGAATTAAGAATTCCTCGATGGATCAACTATTCCCCAGAAAACGAAATGGAATTACATGGGTTTTGTGACGCGGCGTGTACTGATTATGCCGCCGCAATTTATGTTGTTAACAGAACCCAAAAAACATCGCATTTACTCGTCGCAAAGGCACGCGTCTCGCCGATCAAAGAGGAGCGAAACAGTGACAATGTCACAATTCCTCGTTTGGAGCTATGTGGAGCACTGCTCCTTGCACAAATGACGGATAAAGTGCTGAAAACCATGGACATTGATTTCAAGCGCGTCTGTTTGTGGACAGATTCAAAAATAGTATTGGATTGGATTCATGCCAATCCGAGGCGATATAAAATATTCATCGCCTCTCGACAAAGGGATATTGCAACTTTTTTGACCAGAAAAAACGCCATCTTACGTCGTGCCCATAAATTATTTTACTGTACATTTAGATGGTAGAGCTTGAACAAAAGTTCGAAACTATGCATAAACTTGGAAAGAGCTTGATAAACTTGATGAAGTACATATATTTTATGGTCGTTGCAATACCCCTATGCCTCTCGAATCAGCAAAATCAATAGACTTGTCGATGTGTCGTGGTGGTCACATGTACCAACTGATCAAAACGCAGCCGACTGCGCATCTCGTGGAGTGTTGCCTTCGGAATTGATCACACATCCATTATGGTGGCACGGACCGAAGTTTCTTGTTGACAACACATTAGAACCATCCAGATACAAGCCGAAAACCGAATCGCACACACTTGAGGTTTCTCTTAACGTTGCAAAATTGGCCGAAACCGAAAGTTTTTTGTTGCCTGAATCGTCAACATATGACAAATTAAAGAGAGTGATTGCGCGTTGCTTTCGTTTTTCGTTCAATTGCAAAAACAAAATCAAGCGCACCGGCATATTAACAATTGATGAGCTCGAATTTGCTGAGATGGCAATTATTAAAAATGTGCAAAGAGAATGCTTCAATGACGAAATAAAAATTCTGAGCAAAAAATGTGAACTAAAAAACTCGAGTTCATTGTTGAAATTGTCACCATTTTTGGACAATAATCAAATATTACGAGTTGGCGGCCGGTTAAAGAATGCTGACCTGCCCTACGCAGCGAGGCAC